TACTGAAATAGAAGGATGTATGTTATATATATAATATATATAAATATAAATATATATAAAGTGTACACAATAAAAATATATTTATTTTTAAAAATGAACTTGAGCACATATTGAAATAGAGGGATGTATGTTATATATATATAACATATATAAATATAAATAATATATAAAGTGTACATGTATAAATATATTTATTTTTAAAAAATATAAGAAATCAAACTTTAGTTTAATAAGTAAAGACTAAAATTTAGGGAAAGGGGATTTTTTGGTATTGAAGAGAAGCAGAAAAGCTCACACATCACTGGAGAGAATTCAAAAATATACTTATTAAACTAAAGTTTTATTTCTTAAAGACTAAAATTTAGGGGAGAGGGGATAGGTTGGTGTTGGAGAGAAGTAGAAAAGCTCACACATCACTGGAGAGAACTCAAAAAATAAAAGAACATGAGGAGAAAATTCCCTCCCCAAAACTGAACTTACGCGCATCCCTGAGGAGGAGATTCCGGAGGTCGGGACCGGGGACGAGAGGAGGGAAGAAAACAAACAAAGTCAGCAAAAGCTCAACAAACACCCCCCAAAAACCTAATTTATTTCTTTATTTCCAAGTCAAATCACATTGAGTTTTGGCCCTGCTGGTGAGAATAAAAGCCTCCGAGACTTCCAGTCCCTAATTTCCATCAGAGGGTTAAAAAAACTGGGATTTTCTCTGAGCTTTGGAACAGACAGAACTAAATCCCGACTCTCCTCCTCCTCCTCCAAGAAAATAACCACACACTCCTCCACGTGACCTGCTCTTCCCTGGCCTCCACACACAAACCCTACATCCGGATCCTTCAGGACACTTTTCCATCCCTGGAATTCTGGGCTAAGAGAGGGTGACATCCGAGGGTTTTTACCTGGCCCAGGAAGTGGAGTTTTATTTTAAAAACACGACCCGCTCTTCCAAAATGCAGCCAAACCGCTCGAGTTTTGCCAAGCCATGGAGAAATAAATAATTCCACTCTCCAGCCAAATACCAACTGGGCTCCGGGGGGGGGCCGGGGGAGGGAAAAAAGGGAGGGTGGGAAAAAAAAGGGGGGGAAAAGTCCGACAGCCAACGCCAACTGACCGCGGGGAAAACCGTCCTGAACTCCGAAACCCCGGGCCCACCTCCTCCCAAACCCCCGGAAAAGCGGCTCTCCCGGAACTCTGGCCACTCCACATCCACACTCTCCGCGCGCTTCCTTCCCTGGCTGCCTTTTTTCCACGCCACCACCACACGGATAAACTTTGTTATTTTTTATTTTTTATTTTTTGGGCAGGTAGAAAATCCACAGAAGTAAATTCTCTCAGAACACTTACCCTTGACTTTCCTTCAGCGTCCATTAAGAGCTCCACGTATGTTACCTCACCAACTACAAATCAGATTCCAGACGACACATATACCAAGGGAGAAAAGCCAAGAAAACAATGGGAATTTAGAACAATCAACGACCAGGAATGGAGCCTCTGCCTTATAAGAAATCTCCCAGAAACACTCCGTGTTCTCCAGACCTCAATCACAGGTATGCAGGGAAGGGGGCAAAGCACTTCAAACGTGTTCTTGGTTCTCCTCCGCTTCCTGAGGGTTTTTCCACAGAGTGGCAGGTTCCTCTGGATCTTTGAGGCGATCCAAACCCTTGGGAAAAGCTGCAGGAAGGAGTTTCCTTCACCTCCAGTTTGTCTCCATGAAGGAGTGATTTGTTTTATCTTGAATTGGGATATATTGGAATTTGTTTTATCCTGAATCACTCCAACGAGTGATTTGTTTTCCCTTGAAATCCTGAGGGAAAAATTGTCCCAAAAGGACTCACTCTAAACCAAGGGACCATTTATTTCAGGATTTTTAATTAAAAAGTCCAGTTTTAGCTGCAATAACTCACATTTAACTCTGCCCTCAGGACAAAAACTGTCAACAGCAAGAGGCAAAACACCTTGGAAAACTCCAGCTGCGCCTTTCCCCACAGGATTGGGATTGCTTCCTGAAGTTTTTCCACACAGTGGATCATCTGGATCTTGAGGCGATCCAAACCCTTGGGAAAGGCTGCAGGAAGGAGTTTCCTTCACCTCCAGTTTGTCTCCATGAAGGAGTTACTTGTTTTATCTTGAATCACTCCAACGAGTGATTTGTTTTATCCTGAATCACTCCAACGAGTGATTTGTTTTCTCTTCAAATCCTGAGGGAAAAATTGTCCCAAAAGGACTCAATCTGAACCAAAGGACCATTTACTTCAGGATTTTTAATTAAAAAGTCCAGTTTTAGCTGCAATAACTCACATTTAACTCTGCCCTGTTTGCTCTCAGGACAAAAAACAGCAAGAGGCAAAACTCCCCGGAAAACTCCAGCTGCACCTTTCCCCACAGGATTGGGATTGCTTCCTGAGGTTTTTCCACAAAGTGGCAGGTTCCTCTGGATCTTTGGGGTGATCCAAACCCTTGGGAAGGCTGCAGGAAGGAGTTTCCTTCACCTTGAGTTTGTCTCCATGAAGGAGTGATTTGTTTTATCTTGAATTGGAATATTTTGGAATTTGTTTTATCCTGAATCACTCCAACGAGTGATGTGTTTTATCTTGAAATCCTGAGGGAAAAAATTGTCCCAAAAGGACAAGGGACCATTTATTTCAGGATTTTTAATTAAAAAGTCTGGTTTTAGCTGCAATAATTTGCATTTAACTCTGCCCTGTTTGCTCTCAGGACAAAAATTATCAACAGCAAGAGGCAAAACTCCCTGGAAAACTCCAGCTGCACCTTTCCCCACAGGATTGGGATTGCTTCCTGAGGTTTTTCCACACAGTGGTAGGTTCCTCTGGATCTTTGAGGCAATCCAAACCCTTGGGAAAGGCTGCAGGAAGGAGTTTCCTTCACCTCAAGTTTGTCTCCATGAAGGAGTGATTTGTTTTATCCTGAATCACTCCAATGAGTGATTTGTTTTATCTTGAATCACTCCAACGAGTGATTTGTTTTATCCTGAATCACTCC